TTATTGTATAATACATATATTATATATAAATACATATAATATTTATTGTACATTACTGTCTGAAACATTTCTCTGTAAAAAAGCACCATTTTTGCAAACATGAGACAAAAAAAGCTAGAAGTTTGGGTTACTTGCAAAATATTCACATCAAACAATGGCACAGTTCTGTTTTAAGGAAGCCAAATACACATGCACTGTGGCTAATCAATCCTCTTAAGATATGCAGATCCTCAAATTTAGCTAATTAAAAATGCTGATTTTATAATATTCCCATTAAAATTTATCATCCTGTAAATCTCTTCCTGCAGACAGATTCTACTTTTCCCTTCCCTCTCCATTAATGAAGAGCAGGGATGAAGAACCAAGCCCAGAAGAATGCTGCTGTGTTCAGAGCTCTACCACCACAGCAGATGAAAAAAACCCCTAAAGGGCTGCACACAGTACATGGCACATACCTATTTTAGTATCAAGGTAGTTCTCAAACTGGGGTTTTGCTGAGATGACCACAGGAATCTCCTGGTTTGTAAGCAAATTCACAGCTGTCACTGAAGTGAGGGAGTCTGAAAACAAATGTGATGGCCATGGAAGTAAAATATGATGGGAGATATGCCAAGAACATTACTCACTATGTGATAAGAACATTACATGCTATTAGAACTCAGTTTATCTTAAACACCCATGACATTTAAATACCAATTTCGTCTAAAAGAAGAAAGAAAATGAAAAGCCTAATCACATTTTTAAAAGCTCTGACATCTCAGAACGTTTAGTAAATCAGATTGATTCATTTCCATGATTAGAGAAATTATTACAAACACCTGAATAAAGAGACTCAGATTGTAATCAAAAATTGAGTTCTTGACCAAAGCAGCAAGTTCCTACTAGAGATTTGGCACCCAGTGTGCACAAAGGATCCAGGGGGAGGACTGTGACCAATCTGAAATGCATTTATCATGTCCAGCTTGAGTGGCTCAAAAATCAAATCCAAATACTGCAGGTTCTGAGGACTCAAACCCCAGATGTCAATTTGGACCCATTCCTAACTTTTCCAGTGCCTTTAAGTTGATGATAATTAAAATAATTAAAAACCAGATTGCTAAGAGCTTCTTTTCAACTACCTCCACAGCTAAGCTGAGGGAAGTCTTAGGCTTGTACTGCAGTGCATAAAATCTGCTCAAAATAGTAACAGCATTTTAAAAATAGGGTTAGCACATCTTTTTAACACAAATGCTTTGTTGATTTTCTGATCACTACTTTTTCAGATCTCAGGGGCCTGAGACATCCAGATTCTAAAGGGAATTTCTCCTGTTCCAACTGCAGCACACAGCTTTCCTCCTCTGTTGAAAAAAGTACAAAAGGAACCATTTCATTCCAAAAGCAACCAACCCAAAAGCCTCCTGAAGAGGAAGCTGAGTGGGCAGGACAGGCTGCTTTTAAAAATAACTTTCTACCACCCAGCAATAGTTTGGATTTTATGCTGGAACCCAAAATAATAACTCCAGTTTATGAAGCCACTCTTGTGCTCGTGTGCTTACAGCATTATTATATGAGCTCCAAAGAGATGTTATTACTGTTATTAGTGTAAAACAATGTATGCATAGTATTATAATGAGGTAATGAACATTTTAAGGGTCAAATCTTTATCTCAGGCACCACGCTGTCAAAACTAGAAGACGTACCACATTCTAAATTAACAAAACTTCCTCTCCACAGGAACAGCTCCTGCTCAGAGCTTGACACACAATCTCTGAGGATCATTCTGTAAAATCCTTACTCTTCTACAACAAAATAGAGTGTGAGAAAAGTGCCACCTTTCCCGGGGATGAAGTCTCTCTGGAGGACTTCCCTGAGTCTGCTGCTCCCGTGCAGCAGCCTGTGCTCTGGCAGGATGTACAAATGGGAGGCCCCATAAATGGCTTCAGGTGTATAGGTGTAGGCTGAGAGCTTCTCTCCTGTGACTTCACCATTAACCTGGAAAAAAGCAGAAAAATCCCCACTGGAATCTCAGTCATTTTAGACTCTCCTTCTTTTTTGTGCAACAGATAGATCTGTATCACCCTGCAGAAAGAAATACACAGCTCTGAGCATCAAAGCCAGAAACATCCTCACTACAGGAAGTTCACTGAATAAACCTGGGCAAAATTTACTTCTAAGTCCTTGAGAAAGTTGCTTTACAGTCTTGCTTCACTTTATCCACATATATCTATAAAAAAAAGTTAAGTCTAAAACTAATCTGCAATATTACATTGTGCTACTGAACTAGACTCAACCCCTTAAGTGGCTTGGAAGCCTCTCTTCAACCTGTACTATCCATGCCCTGTTTCCAAGAAACAGAAATAAGATGTTACCTCTGAAATCTGAAGAGAATTTGAGATTTTTTTCAGCTACCAGGCTTTCCACCAAACTTCTCTAGGCTTTATATTTTAGGTCAAATAAATGTGGAGTGTAAGGAGGTCTTGGAGATTTTTCTACAACAGGTATTGATAGACACGTTCAAAAACAATTGATAAAAACAACTTAAATACAAAAAAAAATGCACCTTCTAAGCAGTGTGCAATTCAGAGGTACTAAGCAAGTTCAAGCTGTCTCTATTTGAAGTTCCCAGGTCAGTATGTTAAAATAAGTCACTTTTAAACTGTTAGATCAGAGTAAATGAGCACAATAGAGTTGTGAAGTACAAGGGCTGAAATTCCACCAAGATCTCTGAAAATCTCTGCTGTCACTATTGGATTCAAGAAACCTCTTCCATCTCTTCAGAAAAATGGGAAAATCAGAAGTCCTTCTGTAGATAATTCCATTTTTCTTAAGGATTCTTTTTCCTTCCTCTCCTTTCATTCTATCTAGATTTCTCTGTGGGTTCATCGCTACCTAATTGTGTGGATTTCATTATTTTAATTATTGTATGTAGCAGAGGAAATAATGCACAAATGTAGGTAAAGTGGCTTGCTGGAGGTCAGCCTGGGTCTGCCAGAGAAGGTGCTGGGTAGAGAGGAAGCCCAGGGAGGTCCTTGCTGCTTTATGCTGTGCCACTTGATACTGCTCCCCTAAATGCTCTGGCTTTCAGGAACACTTATTTTGACATAAACAGACACAATTTGCATCTGATGTTGCCCTGGAACACACAGACCCTGCCCTCAGGAGGAGAGCAGGGAGTATCTCCTCAGCTCACAAGTGTTGTTCCTCAGCTTCTCTGCTGGTCTGGGTGTGAGCACGTGGTAATGTCTTGTAGCAGGCTTCAAGCTTTTTAGAGCTGAAAACCCATTCCCACCATGCACTTCAGGGGCTGTGGTAAGCCCAACCAAGGCAGCAGCACCAAAATTTCTGACTTACCTTTAGTGAGAAGTCAAGAGAGCATCCAATGCAGTCACCTATCCAATTTGCCTGCATTTCTTTTATACCATACCACTCGGGGAGATCGGACAAAGCATCAAACATGGCCTGGAGAAAGAAAGATTTAGGACATTCAGCTTTTATAAGCACACAAATTAAGATGATTTCTTTAATTAGAACTAACAGCAAAATGCTAAAGTGCTGGTAAAAACATAGGAAGAGAATCAGAACATAGGAAGAGGTGTTGTTATACTGCTGTTGCCTCCAATTCATCTCTTTGAGCACAAAATGAAGATGGTGCAAGCCTTGGTCATGCCCAACAGAAGCCCTGCTGTTATCAAGAGGCCTTCCTTTTGAATGGACTACACCTTAAACACAGAACAAAACCTTCAGATGGAGACAAACACAGAAGATATTCCCAGTGGGTGTGATCTGTGGGAAGTTTAAGGGACCTAAGGAGCTGACCATTGGGTCATTAGAGACTTACAGGTACGTTAAGAGATGTGCTTGTGGGTATGAAGTAAAACAGTGTTGGATCCTGCAAGGGACAAGGAAGAGCAGCAGCTCTGCAGCAAGCAGACAGCAAGGAGCTTATCAAATAAACTCCATTTTTAAATTTCTGATGATGACTTAATAGTGAGAAAATTGGACACAATAGGTAGCAGGGTCTTTCTATTTTCATTTTTCACGGTTCAGGAAGAGAAAATGTCAAATGCAAACATCTAATTACAAGAAAAGTGACTCCCATCTTAATTAAACACAAGTCAAGATAAAGCATAAGTACATTTTGGCCATCTTCCAGATCTACAGATAGGCAGACTCAGGAAAAAGCTGAAGAAATCAAAGCTGTTCAGGGATGAAGATGACTTTGAGGCTCTTATGCCTTTAAGAAGATTTCAGTGCTGGAGAAGATGAAGATTCAGGATAAATTACTGTTTTGCAGGACTGCTTTACTATTACAGAACACCTAGAAAATTCTGGCATAGCTAGAAGATGAAAGTCAACCAGCTCAGAGCAAAATCAAGGTGAGTTTGCAGAAAGTCCATCACAGACAACAATGACCGAGTCTGAAACCTCAAGTGAAGGATTTGAAAGTGCAAAACTGATCTTACACAACCAGCTGCTTCATCTGCTGAAAACCCAGAGAGAAACTGAACCTTAGTTTAGCCATCTGCAGACAAAAAAAAAGGTCTGTAAAATCAAAGAACAGAAATGCTTTATAACTTCCCAAGAGTATCTCAACTCCAAAGGTCTCCCTGCTTGTAGTTCAAAGAGGGAGGATTCTGTTGAACACCTAAAAAATTCAGTCTTTGACTTCAGGAACTAAAATTTTTAGTATGATCAGTGCTTGCCACTGGTTTCATACTCAGTGAGATTTTTTCAACTCCTCCCTGACAATAAATGAAATAAAATAAAAATCTCAATAGAAGCTGTAAAGCCAAATGTTTACTCTTTTATTTAGTGAAGACACTTCAATGAAGTTTGACAAATTTGCAACATAACAACAAGGCTAAAATATAAACGTCAGTAAAAAGTTTCATTCCAAAAGTATCCAACCCATTAGCAAAGTAAAAATGTCTTCTACTTAATTAAAACACAGTTTAAAAGCTTTCCTTCTGAGGAGGAGTCAAAGGAATAGTCAAAATCTGTTCAGATTAAAATGACATTCTTCACTTTATTTGACCAAGCTCCCAAAAGAGTAACCAGATATAAACTCAAGATTACACAAAATCACTTAATACAACTTAATATATGAACCAAAGTACAGGAAATTACAGGTAGGCTGCCCACTGTTTTATTTTGCAGTCTACTGCACGATTCCAACTGTGATTATGCAGCACAGCTTTTGCTGGTATTTAATCACTCCTTGGTTTGTTTTTTACCTTCAGTAGGTTCTGACTGCTCTGTTGTAGGCCACTCTTGAATCTTACTTCCCATGTGTAAAGTATACTGAAAACATTCCTTGAAAAGGAGCAATAACAGACAAAACTTGAAGCACACTCAGTTCCCTGTAAATGTCTCAACTGTCAGCAGGTTTTCCCTTTCTTTACCCTATAATTTCTGACCAAACAAACACCTCTGGGTTCAGCGGGTAGAACTGAGGCCAAGAGATGATTCCTTGAAAGCCCAAAGCAAAGCCAGTGTTCTCCTCCAGATCTGCTCTCCAGAGCTCTTCTCCCTGTGGCAATTACCAAAGAGAAGATATTCCCTTTCCAATATAACCAAGTGTATCTCTGGGATAAAGGAGTAATTGATTCCATAAATATAAAAGCTCTTTAAAACCCTGTTAGCATTTTACCTCACGCTGAGCATCCCCTGCTTTGATTAATCTTACAGAAACAGGAGATTTATGTTGCTGTGGCATCAAAGGAGATGCTGGGTTTAATCTCAGGTGAAAAGAGGAGCTTGGGCTGGATATCCACAAACAACTTCCCCTGGCCAAGCTGACCAAAGGGGTCGTTATTTATCCATGAAGTGCTAAGCAAGCTGTGGGGACAGTGCTCTGGGTCCCTGTGCAGGGAAGAGCTCTCCACCCAACCCCAGAGGAAGACTTTCTAGGCAAGGTTTATTGGGCTTGTTCTGCTGGAAGAAGAGTCATGAGCTAGACTCCAAAGGAAGTGGAAAAAAAGTCAGAAAAAGCATAAAAACTAAAGAGCCAGCACTTTTGCTCTCCTCAGTGATGAGGCATTACCTCATGCTATGAAATCCAAAGTGCCTTCAAGACTCTTAACATCCTAAAAGGCAGCACTTCAGTTTCATTACATTTCATTACCATTCTGCCTCAGAAAGAGAAAAAAAAATCAAGAAGAATGTGATTACTTGCAATAATTCCCCATCTATTCAGAGCAGACAAAGGGCAGTCAGATGCAGCACAAACCCAGAGAAAAGCTGCAGGAGAACAGGCAGATCCTTTGGTGTTTTCCCTTCACAGAGTCAGCAGCACATCCCAGCTCCTGCACTCCGTGGAATACCAGAAGGATTTGGCTCTAAATGTCTGTACACAAAAACACTAACTGAGAAAGGGCAGCAACATCTCTAGGGCAAGTGTGAATCAGAGTGGCAGAATTTGGTAAGGCCATGTCACTTTTCCCAGCCTTTAAACCTACATATACTCTCTTACTGACATGTAAAAAAGGGAGATGATTTAAGGCAAAACTTGATCTATTATATTTTGTTCAAAAAAACTATTTTCTGGCTATTTGGGCCATTTTTGAAAAGTAAAATACACAAAAATGTTTTCTAAAATTAATTTAGGAACAACAGGGACTATGCAAAGATCCATCTTACCAATTCTGATGTGAGGAATGGGTTGACTGTGCATAAAAAAACCATAATAGCAATTTACAGGTAAATCCAGAAAATAGTAACATTTACAGATAGATTTTTCCAATGAATCTGCCTACAGCTTCAGCTGGGTAACCATAGCAACTAAATGTTTTAGCTTAAACATCTTACATGCACAGACAACAATTTGAATAATAATGCCATCAGTTAAGGCATTATACTTTTATCAAAGAAATCTGTCAAAAGAAAAATGACAATTAAAATGTTCTTCAAAAAATCCACAAAAGCTGCTAGGCCATTTCATGGGCACCTCACAGCTTAAAAAATGGGCCACGATTACTGTCTATAACCAAAATGCTTTCTGCTGAGCCTTTAAAGCATGGTCAGGATTTCTGCCCTTTAAAAAAAAAAACAACTCATTGCCAATGGTAAATCACCACGTGAGCCAACTCTGCTTTCCTTGCTTCTTTTATTTCAAGGAGGGCTATGAGCTGGTGCTGTGCTGGCAAAGAGATCAAAACAAATCCACAGATGGACACAACAGAAATCTAAAGAATAGTGGGTGTAGGAATGAAATGCTGACTCCTGGAACAGGAGATGACTTCACAGCCCATTACCAGCCATGTAACTCCTGGTTGCTACTTGACCAGTAATTTAAGCACTGCAGATGAAGATTTACTCACTAGTATTTTTTATTTTTATTAAGGTTGTGAGACAGAAAACATAAAATGAAATTGGGTGAAAAAGAGGAACACAAATGACTAGAAAGTTCATCAAGACACAGTATAAATTGGGTCATGTAATAATTTGTGGTTGCTCCAAGTTAAAAATCAGTTGTATGCACAGAGGTTCAGCTACTACAGCTAGCTGGTAATTTGGATGAAGAATTAAGGGATAGCAGATTCATTAAATGTATTTTAAATGGAACCTTGGCTATGGTAGATGGCTAGGAAATAAAGGCTTACATTTTATTCTAAGTTACACAGGAAAGGAATTGTTTACCAGACATAAAGTTTTTTTTTTCCAAAATCCTTTCCCATTACCTTAAAGAAGACTCCAGGATAATTTCTGGAAGGAATGGGAACAGCTCTGCAGAAAGCCTTGTTGCAGAAGAAAGGACAGGAGCTGGAGCTTTCTGACATTAGATCTGGAATCTGTAACTTTTCAGAAGAAATATTAGTCACCATTGTGGGTGGGAGCAAAAGGTGACCAGAATTAAATGGCTTTCCCCATGAGATGCCAAAACCAGATTAAGGCCTCAGTGGACAAAGATGGGTGGGAGAAGTAGAACACTCCTAAGCAATACTAACCCTTTAAGTCTAAAAGCAGACAAAAGATAAATGGGGAAACAGATACAAGTCTTCCCCAAAAGGTGCAGGAATTCAATTATCATCTGATAATCTCTCAGTGTCTCTCATTCAATGCCAAACTGAACAGCAGTGACACTTTGGCAAGTGACACAAATCTAGCCACAGAACTCACTGAAAGGCTGGTCCACTTTGCTCTCTGCCTTTTCCCAAATCTAGGAACATCTTGCCCAAGGAAGGGATAAATCTGCTCCGTGCCCAGGAACCTGGTGGGCCAGGTCTGTTCTGCCAGAAATTCTGGCAGCATGGCTCAAAGATCTACAGACTGCTCTACACTGACAGGAAACATCTCCAGATCAGAATGGTTTGGACCACACTAATCTGGCACCATCTTGCCTTAACCCTCTGAACACCTTCAAAGGAACCAGAATTAGACAAAAGATGTTCAAGATGCAATGGACTCAGAAATGGGGAATAAAGCCTTCAGGGCCAGGCAAGTTCTGGAAAGGAAAACTTCTATTTCTGTTGGGTATTTTAATGCAAAAGAAGTTGACCATGGACTTGGAATCTCCAGCCCCATTAAAGTATGGAGTTCCATTAATAACATTCATCATCTAAGTCTAGCTTGGATAACAATGCTCCCAACTGCTGTAGCATCCTGAGCCTCCAGGTGCCTGCAGATAGCTGCAGAGAAGGTACAACACACATATTCATGATGAGCCCCAAACAACTGAAGAAAAAGAGAAGTGAGATCCATGAAAAATTTAATTGCTATGCTCATTTATCAGTAGAAGCACAAACATCTGAAGTCTCTGAAGCACACATGTCTGAAGTCTCTGAACAGCAAAGATTTTCAAGAAAATGGAGTTGTCCTGGTAGTGGTTCTGGTTCATGATGTGAGCCTGGGAAATGTCTTTATGGAAATGAGTGTCTTCAAGATCAAAAGTCATGAAATAACAACCCCTGCTGAAGTGAAGGTATTATCACTAATGTTATCATCCTAAAATCCTATTAGTGATTAAAGATCTTTAAGTTAAAGAGATGTCTGTATCCTTCACACCCATTAGGACTAGCTCTGTAAATGAATGTCTCCCTCCCAGTAAAGCCTGGTCTCCTGGCAAGTGCTTTGGAAGAGAGGTAGGGAAGAAAGCTTGAGGAACAGGCTAGGAAGAATGATTGCTGTAACCATGGTGTTCAACACTACACTGTTTAGGAGGATATGGATCCAGATCAACTGTCAACAGCCTGAATCCACAGAAAAAAATATACAAACCAAACAGATGTAGAAGGAAGGGCTCATGTCTCTTACCACTCCTTGAGAAATCCTGGGAAGACTACTGTGAGGAATGAAGAAATGTGTGCAAAGTTGGGTTTTGAGGATAATGAGTCAAGATATTCAGAAAAAGGAGCCAAAGTTGTAGCATTTAAAGCTCTGTAATTTGGCTTCTCTCAAAATGCTACTGTGAACCTTCCTGGTTACATCAGTGTGGGCACAGAGACTCCAAGAGACTGAAGTGTTTGGCCAGTGGTAGCTCAGAAACAGCTTCCCTCTGATGGACAGGCTTCAGCTCTGGCTTGCAATCCTTGAGCCATTCAGAGCTGCACAGTCAAGAGTCTTCTTCAGAAAGTAAGACATAACACTCTATGTTATCTAGCCTCTTGCAACTTGAAAGGAAAAATAAGTACCAAAAAAGGGAATTAATTTATCTTTATCTTCCAATGCATGAAAACTATCTAATATCAGATATTTGACTTAGAATAGCAGAGCCTGGAAATCTGCCATTCTTCTTTGAAGGTTTGGGGGGAAAAAAAAAGTATTTTCCCACTCCCCAAGCCAAATGTTTAAAGCCCTTGCCAAAAGAAGCAGAGTGAGACTGTTTAAAACATGCCAGAACCACAGCAACAAAGATGGGAGTCAGTGGAGGGTGCAGATGGAACAAAATCCAACCCCCTTGCTGAAGCTTGGTGGCATCTGTCACTGTATGGGAAGTGGGAGTGCATGGAGGCAACACCTGGCCAGGGCTGGAGCTGGCAGCAGCATGGCATCCCCCAGGGGCCTGCTTGTAGCAGCCAGCAGAGATCCTGCAGAGTGGCTATCATGCACACAACAAAAATTTGGGGAACATTTCCAGGGGTCTGTAGAGGACCTGACTGTCCTCTGTAGTAATGCATAAAGGTTTTGTAGAGGTCAGTGGAAATGTTCACACCCCCCCCAGGAAAAGCAGAAGCAGCTTCCACTGACAATGCCACCAAGGTGTTCAAGTCCTCTGTAGTAATGCATAAAGGTTTTGTAGAGGTCAGTGGAAATGTTCACCCCTCCAGGAAAAGCAGAAGCAGCTCCCACTGACAATGCCACCAAGGTGTTCAAGAACAAGAGGTCGTTGGCACTTCTGCCCTTCAGTAGTCTCCTGAGGTGACATTCTGGGGGGAAGATGATGATGTTCTTATCAGCTGAGCCTCCTCACTGGAGAATGACATGTGGGAGATGTGATCATCTCAAGAGCTGATGCTTCTCCTGTCACAACACTGCTTAGGCCAGAGACTGCAGAGAAAAGACAAATCCTCCTCCCCAGAGGAGGCTGGAGACTGAGCAAGAGGTAGCAGTGCTGTAAGGCAAGGGTGTTCTCTAGGGTACTGAAAAGCTCCTCAGTCTTGTCTTTTGGTTTTTGAGGGAAAATTTAAGGCTGATTCACCCTTCCTAGAGTTAAGTACACAGTGACCAGGTGCAAGCACAGGTACAGCCCAGAAATACCAGTTACTATTTCCTACAACCTTTATAAAGACAACAGACAAAAGATGTACCAGTAAAGGCAGAAACTCTAGTGAAGGTCCAGCCCCAAAAACTGAGGGAAACAATGAGCTGGGACAGCCCCTGAAATATCACAAAGGTGATCATGAAACCTGATGACGAGAGCACCAAGAAAAAAGCTCAGAACATTGTGATCATTTTGTGATTGTGCAGACATGCTCCATTTTGCCCTCAGCTATAGCAAATGTTCCTTAATTACTGCCAGAACAGGCAGCACGACCAGAAAACATGCATCCCAAGTACCCTCTGGGCATGAGGAATTAAAGCATCAGGCCAGATAGCTGAAGTTCTTCACTGTATTATGAATAGTCCCAGAGTGAGACCTGGATTTCCTCTCCCTTGGTGATGGTGGAAATTTGGTCTTTTGAATCTGAGGGTCAGGAAAAGGGTCAAAGATGAATTCTTAATACAGAATTATTAAGAAGTCAATACTTTAATCTCAGAGAACACAAAGCCAAAAATTTTGTGGAAGAATTCCTAGATGTGGAAGCTAAGCTGTCCCACTGCAATCAAAATTAGAGCTCATACAAAAAAAAAGGATTTTTAAATAACTTGAAAATATCTTTTAAATTAAAGATGATCAAATAAAATATGAAGCAAAGTACAATAGAAGGTCCAGATGTATCTTGACTAGAGAGCAGTCAGTCATAATGAACTCTGGTTCAGACCCACATGGAAATGAACACTAGTGCCAGGCTGGACTCCACTGCTTGTACCACGCCCAGAAGTCCAACAGCACACAGCTTTCTAGTTCAAAAGACTGCTCAGCAGTCAAATACACAGAAAATACTGGCCAAATACACAGAAAATACTAGCCAAATATACAGAAAATACTAGCCAAATACACAGAAAAGCACTTGATGGTAAATATGGGATGACAGTGTATGAATGCAGAATTCATTCATTCACCTCTAATTTATGATTTTTTCAAAACTTATTCCCACACTGATTACTTAGAATTCTTAAAGATGTGAACTGAAAGACTTCAAGGAAAATAATTTTTATAGACACACATACACAGGGATAGATCAAGTCCATTATTATATAATTATGTATTAGACAGACATGTATATAGGAAAGACCACTCTCCTTGGTGACTATTTCTGGGTGAAAAGTCACCTCTTAAGTGCTACCATAACTTCCAAAACCTGTGTTCTCATACCTTAGCATAGGCAGTGGTTTTGATAAACCACTGTTTGAGGTACTTCTGTTCCACCTTTGCCCCTGAACGCCACGAGCACCCGTTGTCATCCACTTGTTCATTAGCCAGCACAGTCTGATCCACTGGATCCCAGTTGACCACGGCCTAAAAAGAAAGTTGCAGGAAGAAAAAGAAGTATTTTCAGCAGCTCATTTGAAACCAGAATCTTACTTATCAGACACCAGAAGGATTATCCAGAAACACTCTTTGGGCCCCTGAGTTTTCTACATTTCTATAACATCTGTTTGAGTCAGTGACAGGGGCTGAACTGGAGATGTTTTGAATATCCATCTTTTCAGAACTCAGAAACCCCAGGAATGCAGTTGGTGTCATTTGCCTTGATGGATCACACTACCAGGGCAGGCTGGTGCTGGAATATTAACTAGGGATATGTTCCAGTTGACTGTGCTGCAAACTGCATCTGCTGGTGCTTAAAGCTGCCCACCAGTCATCTGAAAGTGTTGAGTCAGACTGAGGGGGATGAATAACTGAGGATCTCCAACACAAGGGGACAGAACCACAAAGAAATATTATGCTGGTCAACTGTATTTCAAGGGAGAGAGTTGATATTTCTGCACATAACTTCTTTCAGCTGTGTGAATTACTGTTGGAATCACCTTTCCATATCAACACAGACACATTAAATAAAATTTAAAGCAAAGTAAATGTTGGTGTTCAGCTCTGCAAATCTTGGGTTTTGAGGGCTAACTGAAATACCAGACTTAACATATTGGGGAGGAAAAAAAGAAATCAAACTCATCTCCTCACAGTGCTGAACAATTTAGCTGATCATTTATTATAAAGGGTTGAGACCACAAAAGAATACCCCAGAAGTGGTATTAAATGCCAGACACTAACTTGAAAAAATAGCATCTACTATTCCTGTAATATTGCAGAAATCCCAAAGAGGGCCCAGGATTTGGATAGCTAGGCACATAATCTCCAATTTTCCCACCCAATCCTGTCAGTTCTGAGATGCTATCACAGTAATGTTACATAGTTAAATGTCACTGCTGAAGAGACTCCTCAGGATCTTATAGGATTCCACCAGAGGGAAGTTAAGATCTAGAAAAGTCTATATCAAAGCTATAAAATAAACTAATAGTAGCTCTATATTCAGACCACTTCCATGTAGATCCCTGACAAGGAACATTTCTGATGTGACATGCTACAATACCATCCCATTCCTGTTAGTTACATATGAGTTACAGACAAAATTGGGTTATATATAAAATTCAGTCTATTTTGCAGCAATTTTAAGAGCAGTGGAGCACAAGCCACTTAATGAACGTGGGCAATCCAGCAATGTGCCACTGACAAGAGTGACTTGAATTAGTGCACCTACAAAGTACTAAAAGCCAAGGGTTGTACCCACCTCTTTTTGATACACTATCCCAGCTTCAAAAAGCTTAAGAAAGAGATATTGTGTCCATTTGTAGTACTCTGGCAAGCAAGTGGTTACTTCCTGCAGAAAGGAAATAAAACAGTGATGACCTGAGGTCGTGGGCAGATGGGGTGGAACATGGAGTAGGATGTTCAACTTTTAAGCCAAAAGATTTGCAAAGGGGATCTCACAATCAAAGGGCAAGTAAGGGGCCATTTAAAAGGCAAGTCAGCTCCAGATAGGGAGCTAATGTTCTAGGTGGAAGTATAGAGAATATGAGAGTGGTAAAAGAAGTCACAGATGAGGGGGATTGTTAAGAGAGAGATAAAGACAGCTAAAAATAAAAGACAACATAAGAAGGAGGAATGGGAGTTAAGAGTGCAGCAAGTAACAGTATAATGGACAGCTCTTTTATAAACTTAGTTTCTACATTTTTAGTGAACTCTAATAATTAAAAACCAACCTACTTATCAGCTGCTTACAAAGTTGCATATTTTCAATGTTTGCTCTTAAAAAAAACCCAATCTGTATTTCAAACAAACATCTTAATATGTAAAGATGAGTAAAAAAATTGCATTATTATAGCCCCCCCCAATTTTCTCTACACACACTCAGTGGTCTCACAGGCACAATGGGAGTGTTTTAGAGTCTGGCCAGAGTGAAGACAACTGTGCAACTGAGTATTTTAGCTGTCATTATGTCACAAATATGCCTCAATAAACAGATCACATTTCCCTCCTCAGCAGTTTTCCCTTTCACCTTGCAGTTGCTTAAAGATGAAACATTTCTGCAAACTTTCTGCTGCACCACATTTGTATTTATTGAAGTGGAAGACGAATCCTGTGCTGAGTTTCAGATCAACAGGAACATCTGATTTTAGAGCTACAGGGCTGACAATAAGCTGCTGATAAAATTTATTCCATTTGCAAACTGTTATCAACTACTTGAAACAGCTTCAAATGTGAACTGCCTTTCACCCAGGCTTTCCTATCACCTGAGCTTCTCTCTACACATGGCTTCAGCAAGATCATCTGCTACTCAAATGACACCTGAAGCACTCTACCATAAAAATGGAATTCTTTTTTCCACAACTTTACATTCCAGTACTGAAACATTGCTTTGAACTTTATATGTCAGTGCTGAAATGTTGCTTTGAACAATTAATATGACCTTTGAATAGATGTGCCTCCAAAGTGTGTATAAGAGGCTTTTCAAGATCAGAAAGAGACATTTAATGGCAAGTTTTCAGCACAGCATGTGAAGACTCTGTCATAAAAAGCACTTGCTTGATTAAATCCCAGTGCTCTGCACTCAAATAGAAATCTGATTTCCATCTCTACCACTAAACACTATTCATTTAATCATTCTTTATTTTTTTTCCCTGCTTCTCCACACTGACATCAGTTCTCCTGCCAGTGTGATGCCACTAAAGGCAATGAAGCTTCATTGCTGGAGCACCAGACACAAAAGAAGGGAGACAATCCCTTTGGGTACAATGCAAAATTACATGAGAAATAGACAAACAGGGAAGACACAGAGGGGAGTCATCAAAAATGCTAAAATGGATTGAGATTTGTGCTTTTGGTCCTGAAGAGAGGATGGGTGTTCATTGAAACAAAGAGCTGGTATTTCTATACAATCTCTACACAAGCATGAGCTACCAGACACAAGCTGAACAGAATGCCAGGCACCTTCTCTCCCCCACTGCCTCACTGGCACTTCTTAGAATGGAATGAAGCAGACTAACACTGAGAAAAAAAAATCTGCTGTGGTCACTGGGCTGCAAAAAGATCACTGAAGCTCATCACTGAACTTTGTTAACCATGAAGGTTTGAAGATCCTGAAGGAGGAGAAATGACATGGGTGCTGAGGACCCCTCTTGGCAAGCTGAGATGTGCTGGGGTCTCCTCCTGACGTTCAGCACGTGGAGACTTCCAGTGAAACATAATTTCCCACATATTCCAGTTACTGATCTTGATTAAATAAATGATGTCTGGTAAAAAGCTTCCATTAGGCTGCTACCATGCTTAAATGAAGGTGAATATTAACGTTGCTATTTATACTGTATGAGCATGACAAAGATTTGCAGTGCATTAACAGAACTCACCTCAGAAACACAGAAAAGGGTTTATAAAGGGGTTTGCCAAGTAGCATAACAGAACTCTGACCTTAAAACTGGGGGTTGGGTTGGTTTTTTTGTTTGGTTTTTGCTTTTTTTTAAGAAGGTTACATCTTCAACTACTTGCCTGGCTATTTTCTTTCAAATAAAAGTGATATTTACAGGCTGCATAAAAACCTTTATTTGTTCTGAGATCCACCCAGCTCTGTGAAAAACATGTAACTAGACTAGAGAGAAGTAATTTCCTAGTTTATTACTATTAATTTCATTTTTAGCACAGTCTTATGCTATCCTGAAGACAGACATGTTGCACTTGACACTTGTTAAAAGGTAGTAAGGAGAAGAAGTCTGAACAGATTTTTTCAAGAGCTATCTGGGAAGATTAAACAGTCTTTAATCTATTATTTGCCTGTTTTGTTGTTCAGGGGCATGCACCAGCTCATCTGGAAGGGTAATTACCTGATTTTCAGAGGTTTAGAGCTAGACCAAGCTACATGTCTGAATTCATTTGAATATTTGTGTTTCAAAGGCTCTTAGTTTCATGCTTTATTAGCTACAAACACAAACGTCAGGCAGTGGCTGCATTTCAGAGCATGAATATCTTCCCTGTACACAAGCAGCCTTGTATCAAGTGTTTCCTTTTTTTATTCAATTACAAGTAGTGGTGACTGATTATTAGTAATATGTACATAAAAAGAAAATTTATTAGGAAAATGCTCTATGTGCTGTGACAGTTCTATGTGTGCTCAGGCAGTGGGCACGAATGGCAAACTCAAAACTAAAGAGACAAATATCTGCATGAAGAGAAAATCCACAGATTTGGTCTTTTTTAATGCACAGAGCAGAAGGGGAACGTTACTCTTATGTAAAAAACTGTGTCACTTGGAATGCACTAATTGAAAAGACTGAAAACTGTTGGCAGCAGGAGCTGCCTCCTGGAGGACAGTGGCAGCTTGGTGCTGTGGTGGGGAGCTGCTGGCTCCCTGGGAACACGTTCAGAGCGACAGCACTCCAGAGCACAGGAGAGAAAATCATTCCATGCTCTCCAGCCCTTGCTGCTGAGGATATCAGCCTTGGAAAATATTGCCTCATTCCCCTGAAAATCATGGTTAAGAAGTGGCAGGCACTTTGCCCTGCTGTCTGGGTATTCTGGAGAAATCTGATCACTGGAATACCCCAAATATTATCATTGTGAACCCAAAACACAACCACCATGATTTTTTTTTCCCAGATGTTTTTAATGTCCCTCAGTGACATTTTTTACATCCCCAAACTGCAGCTTTTTAACCCTAGATCTGACAAACAGAAATATTCAGAAGAGAAATATTCTCTCCCTGATTTGTGATTATTTTTTAAATCTCTCCCCCAAATCACACCCTTTTCAAAGGGATTCCAAATGTAACATTTATGACTTGAGGCACTTAAAATACCTACATGTTTCAGGGGAAAAATGTGACATCACTATTAGTATTCAAAACTACACTACAGTGAAGTACTTACCAAGATATTTTATGCCTTTAATTCCATTTTTAGTTTGCTTACATTTTCTGTTTAGGAGAGTCATTTTCAAGTGTCTTTGTAACCTGGCTTTCTGAAATAATCTAATTAGCTTTTAATAACATCTTATTTGTAGTGTCTTACTGGTTAAGTAATTCCTCTGCTACAATATAAAAATACTTTTGATTTGTAAGACAGAGAACAATGGGAAATAAAAAAAACCAGAAACTAAAAAAAAATAAATTCTGGTATCTAAGGTGCCCTGGAATTTGTTCATAATAATTTTACCAAGCAATAAAACTACAACTAATCTCCATGTTCCTGAGCAGGACTTTTATGAACACCAGATAAGACTCTATAAAGAGTCAGCTTCTTCAGCACAGCCACATGCACTAGGTATTAAAGATACCTCACAGGTATTAGAAATATCCAGTACTTGTTATTTTCCCACTTTTTTTTTCTCCCCTTAGCATTTATGAAATGGAAAAATGTACTTCCCATCATCTAGGCATGTTCTCTGAGCTGGCCTCAGAGGGCACAGGCAGTGAAGATGAAAAGTTAGCACTTTAAAAGGCAATTCAGGGCATGCTGAAAGAGGGATGTCAGGCAGGGGAAGGGGTTCCCTCCAGCATGGATTTGTTAAGCACTATGCTCTGGCATAATGAAGGGGCACATTTAAGCAACACCAAGGAAATTACATTTTAAACCCCTCTGTTTTGTACCAGAGTCTTTGTTTGTTCATCTAAATCACATAAAAAGTGGTTTTATTCCATTTTTCACAGGAGTCACTAAGGCTAGTGGGTTTGTTTGCATTGTCATGGTATTTTGTACACCACTGGTGTGGTGCCATACACAGAGTAACAAAAAAACCCCATCCCTTTCCTCAAAGAGCTCACTGCTGAACTAAGCAGCTGCACAGGGCAGTGTTCTGCTGTGCTGAGCAGCTGAGCCCTGGCACTGCCATTTAACTACACCCCTCTCCACATGCACCCAGTTGTGGAGCACCAAAGCCCTCAGAGACCTCTGAAAGTTCATTAACCAAAACAAAGGTCACTAGAAAAGTCCAGTTAAGCCTCAAAGAACAGGCACAGAGTTGACAAATTATTTTCCCCCACATATTTTTACTTCCTGCTATGGGTTTCAGCACTGCCAACTCCCCAACATTTCTTCAGGGTGGAAGGGTTAAACAAAATCCTACAGACAGAGGTAAATTGTCTTGATTCTCTTGAAAGGCAACCTGCAACATCCAGCTCGTGTGATCCAGCACACACAGATGATGTCACTGTTTTGAAGTATTGCTGTGTTACACAGAAAATCTCTGAGACACCAACAGTTTTGAAGATAAGGAAATAATTGTCAAGAATGTGTGCAGTGAACCTTTCACAACAAATCTGTTTTTTTTCAGAGGAGCTTTCTGGCTACCAAGGAAAATAAAATCTTACAAGAAAGGCTGATACTGGCAAATCCTGCTGTACACACACCATGACAAAACAGGGTTTGTAGATGGTAGAGATACAAATAAACAACTTCACCTTCAAGATTAAAGAAAAGAGATGGCAGGTCTCAGACTGCCAGAAAACGAATCCTTTTCCTTTTCAGATCTACAATACTGATATAAAAATCCAAGATTAGCATCTCTTCACTCTATTCAGAACCATATTAAGGTGATAAGCAACAGTTATTGCTGAGAATATAAAGGTAGGGATGGACTTTGACCCCTGGTAAATGCAATAACCTTACAATTGCATAAAAATTAATTTTTTTTAGCTTGAAAATGACATTATGCCATTTGTCTGCTTGTGTCTGGAGAGGTTTTTAAGGTGAGCACCTGATTCTCATGCATTAGTCTTTTAAATGGAAATTTCTGTTTTCCAAAACGGTCGTGACATGAACACCTAGAAAGTTTATGCTTCAAATTTCTAATGACATAAACCACCCTTTCAAGTTTCTAGCTTTAAACCCTTGAGTACACTATAAAAATATACACATTGAAGAAAGTACTCCTCAAAACAGATGTGCTGTAACAGAAAGTCATGCTCTTACAGAAAGTTTTAATTATTGCCTAACTTCTAACACAGGAAGTTGGCTACTTTGAAAGAGCTGAAAAAGCAGAGAAAATCCAAATGCAAAAACTGAAATCACTTAAAGATTCTCCTAAACCTTGAGATTATGAGATAATGTATGTCAAAAGGGAGAGATTATCTGATAAAAAGCTTGAGAGAACTTGATTTTACAGTTTAACAATTAGAATTGGTCCCTTTCAAAGACTTCTATATTGCCATAACATGATGAAAATCCATGTTCTTCTGTGTTCCATCATGCAAGAAAATAAAGCAGCACTCCTTAAAAAAGAAAACCTTACCCTTTCCCATGTAAAAGACAGACCTAGTGCATCAAACTGTTCCCTCATGTGTTGAATATTACTGGAAAAAAAAAAAAAAGAACAAATATTATTAAATTAAAACACTTCTATCATGGGATCAGCTTTAAAATCAGGAGCTTACAAGTTCTGAGAAATGGAAAGCACTGGTTAACCTCCTGACACTATTATCTCACTAACACTCAAGCTCAAGGAACTGTCAGAATATTCATCTTTAATAACAATTTTTCAAGGCCCTGGTGTATTTGGGTTCAATTCCAATGGCTGGGTATACACAACAACAGTTTGTCTCCTCTTGATGTGAGCATAACCAAAGGCAAATACAGCACTGGGGTTTGGGGGAAATGCTCCTCAAGTGTCACTTCTCATTATTTTTAATTATCTTTACTGCAGTTGAGCCAAAGGGCCCTCTGAAATCTTCATGATGCAGTAGGACACACTTTTACCATCAGCTCAATCCTGGCAGTGTTGTCCTGGCTGGATTTTGCTTTGGCTCTGGTGATCATGTGGCTGTGGGGTGAGTTCAGTCAGCTTACCCATTCCACTGAAAACACACCCTACAAAAGGTTCTCCAAAAAAAACCAAACCCAAACACCAGTTTTCTTGCTTCCCTCTGATCATCAGGCTGATCAAATTGACACTGTGGCTGCAAAACCAGCTGAGCCAACACAAAGAAGGCAGTGGGAATATACATCCTGGGAGGCTGCATGGAATCCTAAACTTCTGGTGGCTGCACAGCCATAAACTTACCACCATGAAACTGTACAGCCAGACCTTGCTGCAGATGGATTATATTAAAAATGCAAAATAATCACAGAATTGTAGAAACCCAGGTTGGAAGAGACCTCAAGGATGGTCTGGTCCAGCCTTTCTTGGGAGAAGCCTGGTCTAGACAAGCTGGCCCAGCACCCTGTCCTGCTGACTCTTACACCTGTCCAGTGCTGGGGACTCCACCACTGTGGTGGGGAGATCATCCCATGTCTGACTGTCCTTGTGAAAAAATTTCCTTCTGTATCCACTTAGAATCTCCCCAGGAGTAACTTGTACCCATTACCCCTTGTCTTTTCCATGAGAAATGGTAAGGATCCAGCTCCAAACAGGCACCCCAGCTAGGTCCCTGCATCCAGAGCACCACAAACAGCTTCCCTTGGGGAAGACTTTTTTCTGAGTCCTTTATAGGAATTAATGTCTACTTATGTAACCTTCTACCCATTTTACAGAATACTAGGGGAATGCAACACCCAATTCTGCAGTGTAAAGCCCAAAATTTCCACTGAAATCAGCAGCAATAATGGCTGCTTAGGGCTTTCCAAGACTGAGTCTCAAATGAAAAATCTCTTCCTCATCTGGCCGTGCTGAGCACTGCTCCTCAGTCTGACCTCAGAGTGCACCATGTCCCACCCTGTGCTCCACACTAACATTCAACTTGCCAAATGAAATGCTGATTTATGTCATACACATTGATTTGGGTGCTTGGGAAATGTCACTCTTTCAATAGTCTACCTTTTTACAGTTTAAAAGTCATGGAGAATAAAATCTTGACAATCCCTACGATGCATTCGTTTCTAAACTGACTCATCTGCACAGTGCCATAAACCACCAGCAAACAACCCTGACTCTTCCTGTACCATATTTCTTCTTCCACACTGGTTCTGCTCTGCTTTGTCCCGATGCATCTGTTTCTAAACTGACTCATCTGCACAGTCCCATAAACCACCAGCAAACAACCCTGGCTCTTCCTGTACCATATTTCTACTTCCACACTGGTTCTGCTCTGCTTTGTGTGTTTCTGTACGAGTGTTCATGGTGGAAATGTCACCTGGAGTCCATCAGAAGCTACCTTTGTGTCCAGCTTGCAGGGTGCAGCCCACGTTCAACCGCAGCGTTCTCTGCTGGCAAACCGAACGCGTCCCAGCCCATGGGGTTGATCACCTGTCAGGAAGCAGCAGAAACACAATCTTACACCATTCCTGGAGTGGCAGCAGCAGCACACACAGGCCTCCAAATAACCAACGACTGGTGGTTTGTACTTCAGGGTTTGCTTTGTCTGAACTGAGCCCCTTCAAAACACGCCAGCGCTGGCCAGGTCTGTTTGAAAAGGTGAAGATGCAGCATTTAGTGGATACCTGATGGAACCCAAACCACTTCTAACACCTACAAATGTGCTGTAAATGCAGTAATTAGGATTAAAGTTACACAAGTTCAACAGCAGCAAAACACGACTGAGTAACATTTTACAGGTTGTAAGGAATCAAAAATTTTTACCCCTTAAAACGTGTATTTATATAGAGAACTTGTTCTTTAGTGGCCTGTCATCAAACAAGCAGTAAGAAAGCAAGCCCAGCAATACTAACCTCACAAGCAATCTCCACGTGAATAATCTGTTCCTTTTGGAAGCCTAAGAGCTGCTTTTGCCACTGGTTTGAATTACTTTTATTCTTTTTTTGCCCCAACCATCCAATCCTCTGCCTTCAATGGATTCTTTTGTAAAAAATATGTTATGGAGATGTTTATAAAGGTGCCCTAGGCAGCAACTCCGTGTTAAAGGCACAGGATTTAACAGATGGGAGCCCTCAGCAGCCTCCTTTCCAATGCTGAGCTCAGTCACCCTGCTGTGTGTCACTGCTCCACGGGTGCAGCAACAGTCCCAGAGGCATCAGCCTGTGAGCAATGGTGACTCGAGCCAGGGGCTGTGCACAGCACTTCTGGGATGTACAAATCTAACAGAAACTGGGATGTTGTTCTGCATTACATCTGCATCAGACAGGTAATTGTTCCTCACTCCACAGAAAATAGGAGTCCTAACTCCCCTTTTCCCCACACTATAAGCATCATATGGAAAATCTCATTTGGAGCCTAAATGACTTGCTGACACCCTGCTGAAGCACATCTCTCCCCAGCCCTTCTCCTCTCCCTCTCCCCACCAGTAACCAAAACTATTGGTAGAAAAAAGAAAAAAGAAAGGAGGTAAACTTGACATAAACTACAAATCTCAGCAGAATTATTTAAGGATGCAATAAAATATTCATTCCTGCAGCTCAGCTCTTGCTGACCACTACTGCTGCTGCTGATCTGTCTCTTGACAGAAGTGATGAAATAAACCAGATGGTTTTTTAATGTATAATACACATTTTTCTCTTATTTAACCCCTCTTTGTTTAGACAACTGCCCTACGTATGCATCCCTAAGAATCCTTCTTTTACTACAACTACACTGAGGTTACAGAAACTACTCCTCACTAATTTTTGTAAAATTTGGCTTCTGAAGATCTCCTGGCAGCCAAAAGCGAGGCACAGTCTCATTTCTCAAGCTCATGAGCAAAAGGATGTGGGAAGAACAGCTTCACTACCAGCCAGAGGCTCCCCAAAAGGGCTGACTGCTGCTCCAGACAGCTACTCTGCAGACATTTTATCACTGTGCCATCAGCACTAGCAGGAGTTCTCTGCTCACACAGATCTTCCCAACTCTACCATCTACATTAAAAATATCATACAGTGTATAAATCACTTATCACATTCAACAGACAGTCCAATTTAACAACCAACAGCATTCTTCAAGTGAAAGAGCTGCAGAAGTACTCTAATTCAAGTTTCAATCAGAAACCTGAATTTCAAGAGACATTAAAAATATCCTCAAATTAATCTTCAGGATAGATCTATTTATGTAGTTGCTATAGAGATGGATCTAACATGCACAGTGGTTTGGAAAATGATTTCAAGTTTATTGTCTCCTTTACTTTTCTGCCGTGGAGGGATTTGAAAGGTTTGTGGAATGGATCTGGCTGAACAGCAGGTCAGCTGCTGCTGGCTGGGATGTATGTCATGTACCTACAGGGAGAATGCCACGGCCTCCACGCAGCACTTGGCATCACTGAACTCTGCCTAGAACACAAGGCTTGAGATTAACTACAGGGTTCTGAAAAGCACCAGAGAGGGAAGAGGAGAAGAAAACACACAACTGAAAGGTTGGAAGTTGGCACAAAGGAGAACGAAACAGTTTGGCTGTTTGAAACAGAAAAAAAACCAGGAAGAAAGTCATTTTGAAGACCAAAGGGCATTCCCTGTAGCTCCCAGGTGGTTTGGTCACAGGCTCTAGCCAGCAGGAAACACGGCTGCTCCCTCCAGCATTACAGATAAGCAGAAGGAAACAGTCACCCACTCTCTCCAGTGCTGACTTGATTGCTCCTGACAGCAGCCTCCAACCCTGATGCAACAGAGGGATCAATTCTGCTCACCAGCAACTGTTCTTCCAAGCAGCACTTCTCAGTGCAGCCTTTCCTCCAAGCCACAAGGAGAAACAAACATAAATTGTGAACATATTCTATAAGACAGGAGGCCTGCACGAGTCTCATAATGGTAAGAGAGCAGGCTCTAGTTTCACTCCTGTTGAGGCAGCAGAGGCCAGCACTATCACCACAGGCCATCCTGAGTTTCTGTCCTTCACAATGAGGTAAACTCTTCCTGGTTGGGTTAGTCCTGAGCAGGAGTGACATGGCTTAAGATGCTCAGAAGTCCCCATGCTGGGGCAGGGTCAGGTGTGACACAGGCACTTCCACCACCCTTCACACTGTGTGCTGCCCGGGAAGCTGCGAGGAAGCTCTGGGAGCTGTTAATTAGTGTGTGGGGAACAAAGCTCTTGGTGACTACCACACTGAGCAGTCTCCTCAGGGCAGATCATCCAAAAGGAAAACAGTTGCTTCTTGCAACCTTTTAGCTCCCAAAGACTGCCCCTGCACCAGCCTGAAGCATCACTTTGAGATCCACTCCACAGCACGGCCACAACTCTGCTGTTCACGATGGCCACAGCTCCTAATGGGGCTGTGGGAGAAAGCAGAGGCCTGCCTGGTAGCTCCATTTATCCATTTCTGACCTCAGCTCTTCCTCTCAGAGGATCTATTTACTGCTGTAACAATCACCCCATCACACTGACGTGGGAAAGCACACAGAGCTGACAATGATCTCCTAACGCCCAGTCCTGTGCCTGCAGCAAGATAACTAGGACAGAGTCAGTGAATTTTCCTTAATGTTTGTAAGGCAACAAAGACCTTGTTTGCTCTCCTGATGTGCTCACTAAGTCTCAAAGCCACGACCAGAGAGCTGATGTATCTTTCTTACATCCAGAGGCACTCTAAATTTTAAGAAAGAGCAGGATCAGTGTCAACAATGCCTGTAAATCAATATACATTTCAGAGAATGTGTGATGAGACCAAAAGTGAAAATGAAGAGGCCTGCTGACATGACTCAAGTCTACATCCCTGTCTCTAGTTATAGCCCTGACACACTCAGCAGAAACTAACAAAAAAAGACTGACAAAAGAGGTGATCTGTGGTCATGAGCTCCAGCTGCCAGAGAACACCCCTGGCCCCAGCAGCAACCTTCTGTCCTCCTCCTCAGGCTGGATGTCCCACAGGAGTGAGGCAGAGAGGGCAGGTGGCTGGAGAGGAGGCAGGAGAGGACAGTCACTCCTTCCACTGTGCACCCACAATTAACCTGGACACATTGAAAATCTGATTAGTAACTGAGAGATTACAGATATCACACATTTTAACTACAAGATCTCCAGCTGACTGCAGCCTAAATTGTCTTTTAAGGGTACTATACAATAAACACCATGACACAAGAGCTACAGATTACTACCACCAGACAAAAAAAAAAAAAGCAGACAAGGCACATCTGGAAATAAATAGATTAAAATAATAAATTTTTGACTAGCACGGACTATTCCAACTCTCCTCTGCAACAGAATGCTGCCCATTAGTATTCTGATAAGGCACTTTAAATTAAAAAATAATCAGCCCACGCAGACTTCTATCAAAACAGAAGTCTGCTGATGAAATGCTCTCATTTATTTCTTGTCCATACAGGACACAAAATATGAGAAATTATTCCATGTCCACAAACTGCCACAAACATTTAGGACACCAAGGTGCCTCTCGCCTCCATCTCACACGTTCTTGTCTGACATAATTGCATTTAAAATAATATCTCATTTTCTCTTTTTCCTTTTCAAAGTGAAACAGTGAGCTCATTAACACCTTCAGTGTTTGCTACTGGGAAGCTAGATTTAAATAAGATTCATTTCACAGAGTATACTTGCAATACTTTCCACTTGGTTTATAGCACAGAAAATAACCTGGCAAATGGAAACAACAGGCTCACACACAAAAAAATGCAGCTGAGGATGAGCAGAAAATGGAACTGTGTTGATGCAATTCATTCTGTTGATGATTTAATTATAATATTTTAATTACACTTGCCTGTCTTTGTTCAATACCACTCCCTTTTGCAGTTTTAGGAGTATTAAGATTCACTGCTGGAAGGGAAAACAATTAATGAAAATACATCTAATTTAAAAAAAAAAAAATACATACTAGATAAAACAAAAATGCTCTTTAAGTTTGGGGTATTGTGGAAATATCACTGACAATATTCCAGTCTCATCTATCAGGAACAGTTTAAGCATAAATTAAGAAATCTGATCCTAGCACACAGGAATTTCAGCCCAAATTGTCCGAGGATCATTCTCACTCCTGCCCACCTCACACACGTGTTGGCCTCCCTGCAGTATCAATTTAAATCCAAAATTTTATTAAAAAGACATCACAGGAACTACTGAACTGCATCCCTCTCTGTTCCCTGATTGCTAGGGGAATTATTCTCAGTCCTCTGAGAGGCACAAATTATCCACTCTGGCATTTATCAAGACGTGCTAATGACAGGATGATAAAGCACCAGCAAATACTCCCCCCCCTGAGCAGCAGCAGGCTGGAAATTTGCCACGGTGAAAATCACCATGAATGTCTCTCATTTGTAGACAGCATTCTCAGAACACAAGTAGGAAACCTCTAAACTCCTTACAAAACTTGTGCATTGGAACTCACAACGTGCATGCAGACACAAGGAGAACACCAGGAACTGCACGTTATGGTTTATTAACAGACACAAATTTGTCATTTCAAACACATAAAGCACTTTTTCATTGCATTTTTAAAGGAATAGGTTGGTAGTAAGATGTGTGACAAGAATTCCTCACACACACAAGTTGTTTTAATTGCCCTTCATGAAAAATGTGGTCCTTCTTTTGGCTGCTTTGGCAGGAGACTGGCTTGGTGCAGTCGTGGTAACTAACCAACACTTGGCCTGTTTTCGGTGTCATCAGCCACTGACCTCAGCTACAGCCTTCTGTTGAAGCAGTATCTCTTCCAAAAACAAGAGAGGGGGAAAAAAAATATCAGATGTTTCTTTC